CTGATTTTGACCGCAGTAAATGACAGACCTGTCATCTCGTCAGAGAGGTCAGCCCACATCAACAAAACTGCAACTGTCTGACAGTAAGAAAAATCTGGTTTTGGGCATCAGATGGGGTTTGACGCCAAACCTGACTGGCCGACTGACCTTCTGTCATAATGTGACTTTGGTTTTGACTTGGAAAGCATGTGTTTTGTTCCTCCCACATGTTATTAGGCTTAGTAGCGTCCTTTCTGTCTTCTGACATTCGACCCAATGTATACACTTGTTTCATAACATAGGAATGCTCAGCTTATGAACATCTGTACGTACAGATGGTAAATCAGCAAGTCTTTGTAGTGTTGCTGAAGGGGGGGTGTGGTTTATTGTTTCAACTTCAGAATGACTTAAAGATGAGACTTCAGGCTTCGGAACATAACCCCAAGGCTCCCACATGTTTGTTTACTTTTTTTATTGCTAGTGGGGTGGGACTAAGTCCCTTGTACCGCCGCCACTTCTGGCCTATTGTACCAGCCCCATATGGTAGGTGAGGGTGATTGTGGAGTAATTGGTGGAATGAAGATTGGCAGGGGAAACCGAAGTACTTGGAGGAAACCTGCCCCAGTGCCACTTTGTCCACCACAAATCCCACTTGACCAGACCCAGGATCGAACCCTGGCCGCCACGCAGAGCCAGTGACCAACCGCTTGAGCTATGGCGCGACCTTGTTTACTTATATTTATGGTTTATTTACCGACACTGTCAGTAACGTATACTGTATAGTATTGACTGATAAGATGAATTGGAAAGGATGTAGAAGGACGTGGTTGTGGCCTAATGTGAGATACTATCCCAGCACTTGCTTGTAGGTTCTGAGAAAACCATGAAAAACATCAATCAGGAAAGTTGGTGCCCCAGTCGACTGGCACATCCTAAACACAAGTCAGAAGCATTAATGCTTGCCTCCATCTTGATTGGTGTGACACTGTAGTCTGGTATATTTGTACCATCATTTCAGAGGATGCCTATACCTTCAGGGTAGCCTGACTGCAAATCACAGCTCAGAAGACATTAACCTTCAGACTCACCTCAGTTCTCACAACTTTCCTCGTTAGTATATTGTAGAGTGTTGTCATCTGGCAAATGATTCTGAAGCAGTTTCATTATTTTGAATATTAATCCAGTTCCACCAGAAATAGTACCTTTCACGTTTGGTGACAAACCTCGGTCCGAGGGTCAGTCAGCAACTGTGACATGCGCTGTTGATGGAGATAAGCCTGTCGGAGTGCAGTGGATGCTGAATGACAAGGAAATAAGAGGCGACATGAACGTTACTGTGATACCGCTTGGTGATGCCGGCTCCATCATTGCTATTCCCCATGTTACCGCTCAACACATGGGACAGTACACTTGCATAGCTAAGAACTCTGCCGGCGTAACCAAGCACACTGCTCAGCTGGCAGTTACTGGTACCAGATTATGTGCAGATGTTGCATGAGCCTGTGCTTTCTTTCCCTTCATCCCTCTAACTTTAATTACAGTCTTCTTTCTGCCTTGTCTGAAATACGCATGTAGTTTCACATTCAGCTGTGCTGATAATGGATGACCTTTTAATGGTAATCAGTTCTGTTTTACTCAGAATGGATGTAACTTCTTGAGAAGCCAGTAGTCACTTTTCTAGTCAAGAGATTCCCAATATTTTATGGGACCTGAAATTTCATTACCATATTCACAGGACCTTACACACCACTGGTCCATATCCTGAGCCAGATGAATCCAGTCCACATGTTCCCATCAGATTTCCTTAGCGTCACTTTTAACGTTATTCTCTAGGTCATCCAAGTTGTGTCTTTCCTTTAGAGTTCCTACCAAATTTTTGTATGCATTTCTCTTCCCACCCATATGTGCTATGTGCCTCAGCCATTTCATCTTGTGTCTCGGACACTTTGTCATAAGAACGGAGACTGAACTGCTGTGGTTCGTTGCTCTTCTACAAGTTTATTGTGTGACAAGAGGAACAGTGTTGACGTCATTTTTCTGCTATGGTTTTGATTCACAGTTCTTCTCTTTTGCTACCTCCATATTCACATGTTCATATCTCTTAATTGTAATTATTTAACAGCATTAGTTTCCTTGTTATCTTAATCTTTGACCATCAGTCCTGCCACAGATCCTAGCTTTCTCATTTGGTGATGAACCAGCAAATGCAGGCGACATGACGGTTGTTCAGTGTGCCATCATTAAGGGTGACTCGCCAATAACAATCTCATGGTTCTTCAATGGTGTGGAGATCACACCAGGCTACCAAGACATACTTATTGGAAAGATGAGTCAGCGCATCAGTACACTGAGCATTGAAGCTGTTAGGGCGAGACACAGTGGTGACTATACATGTAGGGCGAGCAATGCTGCCGGCAAGACTGATCATACTGCTCACCTTCATGTTAATGGTAACACTCCATTCAGTGTGCCTATGGGAATTTTACTTTTCATGGTTTTCATTTTTACTATGCACGATAAAATAATTTTATTCTATAAAGATCACTTTCTTCTTGGATATGAAGCTATCTAGTCTGGTAGGTTGTTACCAATGTAACCTGATGTCCCCCTTTTCAAGGTACTGAACACTGGTAATATTCTATTGGACTGCATGGTATCACACCCCAGAAGATGGTAAGAAACTCATCTCACAATTTCCTTCTCACATTCTCAATAATCAGTATGTTTTAGGTAACTGAAACTGTAATTTAGTAGTAAGCCATTCAGCACAAAAGTATAATACCTCTAATTTGGAATTGTTAAATGATTGTACATATCCAAAATCTAAATTTATTTCTGGAGCAGTTTTCAAGGTACAGTCACTATGAAAATAAACATTTGTTCACAGGGGTCACCAGTCAAACAAAAATTCTGCTTACTTGTCATTTCACCACAAGATAAAACACACCTACACACGGCACTCTAAATGCCCCACATCAACCTGTTTTCTCACACATAACACACAGAATGTATAAAATACTGTCTCTTATGTTAGGCCTATAAAATGTGTGTAACATCGTTTACTGTTCAGCATCTATTGAGAAACAAAAAATCATGGAAGAGAATATCAATGACCAAATCAAATATTTCTCCACCTGCTAATCTTGATTTTTCACTTATCACGGACAGAGAGAGATCAGTTCCGTCTAATAGAGCCAACCAAGTAGGTTCAATACTTTTATCTGGTGGTGGAAACAGAGTTAACTTCTAAAATGTTGCATTTCTTTAACCAAAATGAGTCGCGGAGAAATCTCCAGAATATATGTTGGTTTAGATCCTCGTGTGTTCAGAATTTTATATTTGGATTGCTTAAGGGGCAGACATAACTTTCAGAAATTCCAGTTTCATACCTAAATGAGGCATTAGTGATAATTAAAACATTTTTAAATCATTCATTTCATCATCATTTAAAGAATGTAATTTTAACATTCACTGTCATGCTTATTAAATGTTATCATTAAGATCCTAAGGATGCTGTTGGCTAGAACTTGTTACTGAGAACTTGCTTCTGGTTCCAGTTCCTCCCAAGATCCTTCCCTTTACTTTCGGTGAACGCCCTCTCAATGAGGGAGAACTGGTCACAGTGCCTTGTGCAGTCGTGAAAGGCGATGCTCCTGTTACACTCAGGTGGTTGTTCAATGGACAGACCATAACCCCACGCATGAGGATCACTGTTGTTCCACTTGGAGTTAAAAATGTCATCTTGAGTGTTGGTTCCGTGCAAGCCAGTCACGTGGGGCAGTACACATGCATTGCAGAGAACCGTGCCGGGGCATATGAATACTCTGCCAACATGACAGTCAATGGTACAAGTAAAAAGTGTAAACAGTAGAAAATTGCCATCTGTGTTATGTAGCCAGTGTTGGCCCCTTGGTTTTTTTGTTGTTCATGTTATTGGTGTTTCTCTTGTTTTGAAGGACCTAGGTTTGAAGGAATTGTTGTTGTACATACATATATGTGTAGTTTACCATAGTTGAAATTACCATGGTTTTCTTCAGTTCTACAAGGCAGTACCTTGAATTAGATTATGACTGTTTTCTTCACCATACATAACTACCCTTCCATATTCAGTGCTACAGAATCACTACAGTTTACACACTGTGGCTAAGTACACCTTAGCCTTAAAATGGCGAGTTTCTAACAATTTTGCAGAGATGAATTTTCTCTAATAATTAGTGTAATGTCAAAATTATGAATCTTATAGGAGCATATCTTAGGTGTTGAATGTACTGTGAGAATTCAGCGCTCTGAGGTTATTCCAAATATTTGCAGAATTTCTGACTTGAAAAACAGAAATATTCCTTTTGTTTATCTGCAGAAGAACTGCAGTTCTGGGTTTCTTTATTTTTCTATTTTGTGTCACATCCAAAATCCATCATTTTCTAAGTTCCCTTGTGTCTGTGCCATTTAGTTTAAGGTTAAGGTTGCATCAGTTTTATTTGAAACAGCAAATCTGTGTGGGAAACACCCTTAATATAAGGGGTAGAGTCTTCTGCATTGTAACATGGTGTAGCTCAGAGAGAGCCCAACATTTCAAAGGAATGTAGCACGGCCATGTTCAGTGTGAGAGGGTAAGCCAAGCTAAGAAACCAGCATAAGCAGGTGGCAAGCTTAGCTTTTTTAAATGAGTCGTCAGATATGTATCTCATTGAATGGCAGTTTAGTGGTTTGGTTTTCAGTCTGTGGACATGTTAAAACTGATAAGTTGATCATGTAAGGAGTTTTTCTTCTGTAGATTCAATTTTTTGGTTTGGTGAAATGACTATACTTTTTTCTTTGGTGCTCAAGAGTACCACGCTGTTTTCATCTACCATATATTTTTTTTTGTGGCATTGTCTCACTGTTCGTATATTATTGCCATATAGGATGGATTAATGAGCTAATGTTACATAAGTCTTTAATTTTAATTTTGTTTATGAATATGGTCTTACCACTCAGCTTCATGATAAGAGGAAATGACCTCAGATGTGGATCCCTTCCAGTTATACCACAGATCCTGCCGTTCTCGTTTGGCGCTGAGCCAGCAAATGACGGAGAAATGTCTGTTATTCAATGTGCTGTTGTGAAGGGCGATTCTCCCATTACCATTGCTTGGATTTTCAATGGTGTTGAGATCACTCCTGGCCATCAGGGCATATCGTTGTCTAAGGCTAACCAACGAATTAGTACACTGAGCATCGAAGCTGTGCGTGCTCGCCACAGTGGGGAGTATACCTGCAGGGCGAGAAATGCTGCAGGGGAGGTGAACCACACAGCTCACCTTCATGTTAATGGTACAGCATGCATATATAAATTTCACTTTCTGTTATGGGTAATCCTTGTCGTGCTATATTAAGTATTTCTCTTGACATGACTTTGAAGTGTCTTTTTTTAGATATTAACAGAACACTAACCATATCCATCGTGATGTTCACTCCTCAAGAAGCTGGTTTAGAGATAATGCCCTAGATTTTATTTCATGGGTGTTCAGTTCGATTCTCAGCTGGGGCACTGGCTATCCTAAATGAGGTTTTTCGTGATTTTCCTCAATCCCTTGTGGCAAATACCAGTGTAATACCTCAGTTACACCTCGGTCACTTCCTTTGATGTCCTATCCAGTTCACCATTCATCTTTTGTCATAACATCCAGTGCTATATAGTCTAGATACTGATGTTGTTAAGCACCACCCCTCATCAGAATGATGGATCATCATACTAAACTGGCTAGGACTCTTGTTTCATCTTATGGAAGTCCTTACTTTGAATCTTAGCTGAGTGACTGGTTATCTTAAACTTTTTGTTTCACCCATCTTTAAAAATTGCTGTCTTCTGGGATGCCATTCTGTGTAATCTGGCAAGAAGTTACCGGTGGTTCAGAGGCACCTCCTGCCTGCATCTTCAGGGCTGAAGATGGAGACAACCAGTCACTTTGAAACACCAAGAACACTCTCCCAGACTGCACGGTATCACATTCCGTAAGAACCTCATCTCACAAAACCACGTGGTTTGTGGTATGGGCATTCCTATTTTTATTCCACCCCCACCCCCTCTTTCATAAAGTCTCAAATAATTCCTTTGTCAGTGTGTAAGTGTGTAATTGTCATTTATACTGCAGTTGTGCCGTACATAACTCCATTTGGATTTGAGGGTGAAGCAAATTCAGGTGACAGTGTTCAGCTCACTTGCTACGTTGCGAAAGGTGACACTCCACTTACCATTTCATGGAGTTTTCAAGGCGAGGATTTATCCACTCATGTTGGCATCGTGACAACAAAAATTGGTGCTCGTACCAGCCTTCTCACAATTGCCTCAGTGGTTGCTGGTCATACTGGGGAGTATACTTGTACTGCTCGCAATGCTGGCGGTGTAGCCAACCATAATACAGCGTTACTTGTTAATGGTAGTGTATACTCATATGCTTTCTCTTAGCATGATACTTTTCTGTGTAGATTTTTATGTTGGTTCCTTTTTCTTCCAGTTTCGTGATAAGAGTGAGTAGTTTTATGGATTATTGACAGTACAGGAGACTTTTGTAATGACATTCCCCACGTTACTCCTTTAAATTCCTTCATTCTGTCGCTTTATAAATCACTCATTAATATTATCATGGTTTGAATCTTTCATGATGACTGTGTGCGACAAAGTTTTCTCAAACCATAATCCATATGAACATGGAGTTCTTATCCAAAGTTGCAGAGACTGCCTCTGTTTCCGTCATTGTGGGTTGTCGTTATGAGTGACACAGCTGCATGTTGTATTTATATCCATGGAACCCAGCTGCCGTAGCGTGTGCCACTGAGGGAACAGTGAGATGAGTCCGGCAGACAGCGGTTGACGAGATGGTAATGGTTTTCCAATATGTGTCGCTTGTGTTTTAGCTGTAATTGTATGTTCTTGTGTAGTTCTTCCTCATATCATACCGTTTGCTCTCGACGAGGACATAAACACAGGAGAGAGTGTACAGCTCAACTGCCATGTGTCTAAAGGAGATAAACCTCTAAAAATAACATGGAACTTTCACGGGGAAGAGTTATCATCTCACATGGGGATTGCGACTACAAAGATTGGTGATCGGACAAGCTTGCTCACAATCTCATCAGTGATGGCGGGACACAGTGGAAATTATACCTGTACTGCACAAAATGCTGCCGGCTCCGTTAGTTACACGACCACGGTTCATGTCAATGGTAGTGTCTGTAACTATTATTCAGCTTTTTGTGTATGAATAATTTTGGCCCTTGTTACTGGTAGAATTTTGTTTTCTTCAAAAAATTAAATTCTGAGTTTGTGTAGAATTTCTTTGTTTCATTTGTCATCAATAATAGACTGTACTACTGTTCTTCATAATGATTTTCCCTATTCTGTCATGTGAATGCCAGGATGGCGTCTTGCAGTATGCCAAAAAAATCCTTCCCAGTACCTACCAGTTCATTATATATGACAATCTCTTATATCGTACAGCAGCATTATGTAATAGAAGTGTCTAACATCATGCAACAGATTTGCAGAGACTGATGTGTAGACATAAATGGGGTATCGTTTATGGTGCTCGTGCAGTGAAGCTGAGTCTCTATTCCCTTTAACTGATGTGTCTGTCTGTCCATGTTCTGTGTCCGCACATTGAACAGATACCTCCAATGCCTCCAGGTCCTGCTTGGCGTCATCTCTTATCTGATGATAACGTGAATGTCATGTATAGCATGTAACCAATGTATACGTCTTTTCACGTCCTGTTTGTGCTTCCATTCCCTTAGTCCTGCCTCACATCATCCCTTTTGATGTCGAAGAAGAAGTAAATACAGGAGACAGCGTGCAGCTGAACTGTCATGTATCCAAGGGAGACAAACCCTTGAAGATCACATGGAATTTCCATGGGGAGGAGTTGTCTTCACACATGGGGATCACAACTACGAAGGTTGGTGACAGGTCGAGCATCCTCACGATCGTATCTGTCATGGCAGCCCACAGTGGGAACTACACTTGCACAGCCCAGAATGCAGCGGGAACAGCCAGCTATACAGCCATGGTCCATGTGAACGGTACACACACAATCTTCCTTCACACTTCTAACATCTGCAGTTGATACAGCATGAACCAACCACTCATCCCTCCCCAGAATCTTGCCCTGTGTAATCATAGTGTTGGCTTTTCACAAGGATCAGGTTCTTGTTGTGTACTTTGCAGTTTTGTCTCTCAGATTTCATTACAATAATATATTTGGGGACCTCATAATTAAATCTCCTCTGGGAGACTGGCTACCCTGACCAAGACATTTTGGCATTTCCCTGTCCCTCCATGAAAATGATAGGTTATCGTTTTTAGATAGGTCATGACGTCTTTCTGCTGCATCCTCCTAAATAGTCACTCATCATCACTGTATCATTTCTTGTATGAAGCTATGTGAGCTTTGCAGTTGGTTCAGACTCATTATATTAAGAATCAATTTGTATCTCTATTTTATCAGCAGCAGCTACTTGGTGTGTATTGCCAATGGTGTTGTTTGTGACGTCAGTTCTTGCCCAGCAGATGTTTGTTTGCAATTGCAACAATTCTGTTATAGTATCGTTAATTTGCATATTGATTTGCACAGTCATTTTCAGTGTTTCTAAAGGTTTATGACCACAGTTGGTTCATTACATCACAGTTAACATTCGACAATGTTGTCTGAGGTGCATTTGACAACATTGTTAGTATCATGTCAGTTTCTGGGCATTTACATTATTAATATTGAACATCAGGCTGTGCGGTCAGAGAAGTTGCTGGGTTAATTGTTGATTTGCAGGTGTCGTGTTACAGGTTTTATTATGTTTAGTGATGAGTTGTTGGTTTAGTAGGGAAGCAGTCAAAGACTACTGTATTACGGGATACCGTGCTGTATAGTCCATTAGAAAGTTGCTACTATTTTTGAGGAAACTATTGCCTCCGTGCTCAGGCTGGCTCTCACATTCTACCAGACTACATGGCATAACATTCCATAAAGTAATATTCATATTCACTGCTGTGAAAATTTAAGATCTCACACTGTAAGAAGTATTTTAAACTTGTCTTAAAAATCTGTAATGTTGACATGTTCGCAACTAATTGGTCCATTCAAACTCATTAAAACAGCAGCTGATCTCCACAATTTTGGTATGATGGTGCTGGTTGCAGGTTTAGTATTTGGGTATGAGAGTTTAATCAGTATTTCAATTGATTTGATATAGGTGTTGTTACTTGTTTAATGTTTTAGACAAACATGGCTTTTAGGTTATAGATTTCTTTTTGTAATAGATTCTTAAATCAGCAGCCATTCTTTGATGTATTAGGAACTATTGTCTTGATTCAGGTTTTGTTGCTTTGTTTGTTTGTTTTGAAAATGCCAGACTTCAAATGATCTGTTTCAGTCTTGAAGAGTACTGGATCCTCCCAGTTTTGAGTGTATATCCATGACAAATNCATGTAGTGTGGAGGAGGAAAAGAAGTAAAAACTACAATAAAATTTGTTGCACTTAAGACGGTATTTATCCATATATATAATGAATACACAAATAGAGTTATATGTGATATTCAGTAATTCAAATAATTATTGGTCTTAATGTTTACAGAGATGCCCCATATAACTGCATTTGACCATCTAATACTGGAGGTAACATACAGTTCTAAATGGGAACTAACTCTTAACAAATATCATGGCATTCCCATGGGAATGAAGTCCTGTGATTCATCTCTGGAATTTTGACCACAGTGCTTGGTGATTGACCCTGCGAATAACCCAGGCACTATGTAAACTGAAGACTTCTCTTTTATTTCCACTACTGGTGCTGTCTTAGTGATGCACATAAGTGACTCAAAGTGACTGCTGTCAGATGGCATTTGACAGCTTACCACATTTTATTCTGAGGTATTCCAAATTGGGAGTTTTCCATTTTGGATTGCTTATAAGTAAACATCCCTTGTTAGCCATTCACTATGTTTCATAAGTTTATGAAAAAGCCTAAGAAGTTAAGACAGTGCTGAACAGCTTGCAGTAGCTTTTACTGTGTGCTGTACAAAGTAAAATGCTGATCTATTCACTCATTCACTCCTGGCCTCATAGCTCAAATGGTTGAAAGTCATGAAGAGTGAGGTATAAAATCTTTTACACGAGTTTTCTGAACATACTTCGGTCAGTGTACAGCCTGGTCTCAGAATAAAATTTCGTGTACCCGTCGGTCCTCACAGACATCACGTGCACCTTATTGAAGATGGCTTGATTTTTATCTCAGACTATATGTTATCATGCATTACAGTCACAACTTTCGGAGAAACCGTCATAATTTTAAACAGACTTTACTTAATTCTGTGCACAGACCAAGATGTACAAAAAGAAAAATTTTAAGATGTTTTCAGTTGTATTCAGACTATGGCAAATTAGGAAATATATCATGTTGCTCCTTATGAAGCTTCATGTATCCTATGGGGCTACATGTACTCTGATATCAGAACTGCTGTTTTATAGTAATTTTGTTACTGATAGTTGTGTTAATAACACTTCAATGTTTACATCAAACCAGAAGTTGTTGTATATCGCATTATGCCATTGTAATATGACTAACAGCTTTGGAAGACTGAAGTAAAAGTCTGTACTGCTTCAGCTTATGATGTGCTGGGGTTGAAGATGATTGATGCAGTGCCACATCTGAATTTTTTGTAGTTTCTTGTTCTTAGTGTTTTTTTTTTCTATCTTAAATTAATTTTTTCTTGTTTTGCTGAACACCCCCAATAGTCCATCCTCACATCACCCCTTTCTTGTTGAAGCCTGAACTAATTCTTTTGATAACTTTGGACTGTACTGCTACTGACAAAAGTTGATTTGCCACTCAAAGTTACTTGGAGTTTCCGTGGAGAGAAACTGTCATCCCACATTGGGACAAACACAATTAAAATGTGTGGTGGGACCAGTTGTTAACAGTTTATTTTGTGAATGGCAGGACACAGTGGGAACTACGTATGCTTGCAGAGAATGGTTTTGGCTCCACAAGCTACGTTGTCACATTTCTTGTCAGTGGTATGACACAGATTGTTTTGAAGTGCCATCATTCTTATAAATTATATGTTACCTCTTAGGTTTATCTGATGCTATGCAGTGTCCGTACTGACAGTATCATTAATAACCATCAACAACAATAATAATTTAGTTATTTATGATTTATATGCCAAGTCTGCAGTTGCAAGGCCAGTTACAGGAAGAGCACAGCATAGATGCTCATAGTAATACTACAGAGGGAGAAAGGAATAAAGGCAAGAGCCACAGGTCAAGTTCTTGAAACGCCACAGCGGGAAAACTATTATTGTTGCAAAGATAAGGGTAGTGGTAATAAGAACAAGTAAAACAATACCAATAAACATTAAGGTATTTCTGAGAAAAACCAATGAAAATGATAATAATGATAGCAATTAATTAAATCTTTATCTTCCTCCATCAACAATGTTGGTAACAAGAATGACAACATAACAATTCACGTGGCTTTTTTTAATAGCATTCTTAAAGTGTAAAGGTTAGATCAGCATTGCCTACAATACAAAAGGGGTCTGAGCACTAGCACTAACATTGTGAGCCATATGTTGGTGTTTAAGGAATTATTCTGACTGTGATCAAAGATTGGTTGTCATATTACAGCTTGCTCATTGAGACTGTTGCAGTCTCCTGAATAACTGAAAATGAACGTCATCTTTACATGATTGGTCTCCTTAGAAGACTTCATTGCATTTACTTCCCATGTAATGTTCAGATCCTACATAATTAAAAGCATCCCCCTCCTTGGTTCTTTCTAATTGACAGTTTGTGTGTTTCTGAAATGTTAGTCTCTAAAAATGTTTAAGCCGGTGGCTAAAGTCACATATTTTGTGTCATAGTTTCTCCATCCATATCACCTTTCACATTTGGTGAGAAGGCGGTGAACGCAGGTCAGCTTGTCCAGCAGAACTGTGCTGTTACAGAAGGCGATGATCCATTGCATATCACATGGACATTGAATGGTGTTAATGCTTCCACTACATTGGGAATATATGTGTTGAAGATAGGGTCTAGGACCAGCATCTTGACTATAGAGTCTGTACGGGCATACCACGGGGGCAACTACACATGCACTGCTACCAACTTGGCTGGAAGCACACACTACACTGCCTATTTGGCTGTTAATGGTATCATGTTTGATAATTTATTATTTCCCTGTTTTAGTTTATCAATTTCTTTTTTCCATAAAACCCTTTTTGCCCAGAAAAATACTGTTAGAATCCTACATCGATTATCCAGAAGTGTATAAAATAGACATGTAGTACAAATGAGAAGGTTGGTGTAATGTCTGATGGAAAGAAAATTAAGTGTTGAATTATGCAATGTGTTTCTTGTATGCAAATAAGACAGAGTGTTTCAGAGTTATCTCTTTTCTTCTGTGCAAGGTCAGAGGACCTCTAGGTTAGCATAATAGAGGGTTTGATTTGAGTATTTGGTAAATAAAGGCTTGTATAAATACTGCTACAATCAAGAATAGATTCTTGATTACAGTTGCGGGTAGGCTAAGCCTATCCTGGGAGTTGTGGTTAGTTGGGTCAAGAACAGCTTTAATATTTATTACAGTGTTAATAGAAAATATCTCACTGTTTGATGATTGTAATGCAATATTCAGGACTCATCATGGAGTCCCTGCATTCCACAAAACCCAGTTTGCAAAATGCTGCCCTGTTGCATAACAGATTGGAAAGATTGTACTCCATAATGTAGTACATAAAATTACCAACATTGTTCTTCGAGTTTTATTAAGCTTAATTAAAAATGGGAACGCTGAACTGCAAATTAATGGAGGTCTTCCATATCAAATTTCTGGTAAGCCTGTGAAAGAATGTATAGGATGCACAGAAATTTCCATTTATGACCCTGTGCAAACTTGGTTTTATTATGGATCAGTATGGCTGTAAATTGCAATTATCTGATGCAGTTTTGTGGAAATGTTTGATATCAAGTTTCAACAAAGTCTGGGGAACCATGTATGGGAAACATGTGGAAGGCCATTTATGGCCT